GCTGGTCAGGCGAGCGGACAAGTGACGAAATGCGCTGCACTTTCGTCGCTGCTTCAGGGACCTCTGAAGTGTCGCGCTTGCGCTCCGTCGTGACGCCTACGCGCCTTCGCGAAGTCGCAGGCTCAGAGGAAGCTCTTTCAGCGGAGGAAGTAGGTTCCTCATGACTGCGCTTGTCCTGCCTCTCTGCAAGTTCTTCAGCATCCATCGGTCCCTCAGGCACTGGCAAGTCGGCGGCCGCGCGGGTTTCCGAAGTCGACTGAAGCTCACGCAACATGTCTTGCTCAAGTTCTTGCGCCAGGTCACCAGCATTTCCTAAGTTTTCCGGAATGGCATCCGGATCGTCTGGTGGCTCAACCAAGTTCTCTCCAGGTCTCGGCTGCTGCGGTGGAAAGACAAAGTGATCTGTCTCAACTTTTGTGCCTCTAGGGTCCCAGGGCGTTGCCTTCAGGGACTGCACAAGTGCCAAGTCGAGCTGCTCAGACGGCGGTCTACGCCGAAGTGAACGGATCTTTATCACACCCTGGGGTGTCCCAACGAAGTGCTGGTTGGACTCTGTGTCTCTTCCGAGCCAAAGTCCTTCTTCCCAAGCCGCGTCCGATTTGGGAAATTTGCCAATTTTGCGAAAGTGAACAACCTCCGCAAATCGACAAAGTGCGCCGTTATACGGCTTTCCCCAGCGCTTCTCGAAGGAAGTAAGTCCGTCACTTTTGTGAGCATATCGGTTCATCAACCACTGCGCATGCTTTACAAGCCAAGTGAACAACGGATGGGTTTTCTGCAAGGTGAACCCAGAATACCTTCCCTCTAAGTCAAGCTTGAGGGTGCGTATTTGGGCATACAAGTTAGACTGAAGCACTCCAACTGCTCCTTGGGCTTGCTTCCAACCTGTTGGGGAATGACGAACCGAAAGTCCGCCTACCTCCGAAGTGAACTCAGCAACCAAAGCCTTAAGTGAGGGTTCGGGGTCGATTTGCAAGATGCCAAAAGTGCGCCCGATTTCAAGGATGTATCTCCGAAGTTCTGCCTGAGCATAGACAGAGCGGCCTTTGGCTGGAACAACGCACGAAAGTCCCATGCCCGACAGCAAGTCCACAGCGGTGAGGAGAGTAACCTGGGGCTCTTCAGGATTATCTCCAAGGAAGCAGTAGTCAAGTTGAACGACCGGCTGCTTCGTTTTCAAAGTCCTGCTGTGGTTCTGTTTGCTCTTTGCACGGACGCAAATCGGGCACCAAGAACGAAAAGGCAGGTGCGTAAGTTCATGCTCTTTACGCTCCGTGAGCGTCGGCTCCGAGGGCGCAGGAAGTCCTCTCGGTCGCCGGGCCGATGTCTCAAACAAGTCAGGTTCGGCCACCTCGGGAATCTCCTTGACATACAAGTCACGCTTTTCAAAGCAAGTCGCACCACCACAAGCAAAGGGTTCAACAACGTCACGATCTGCACCTTCAAGTGTCCAATCGTCTTCATCAACCTTCATGCTCCCATGATCGTCAAGTTGTATTGTAACCCGTGCTTTGCTTAACTCGCTCAAGTTCGGACCGCCTTCGGAACGCTCTGAAGGCACGAACAAGTTCTTTCGTGGCTGACGGTGAAGTCTAATCCACATGGTTGGCAACTGCACCCAAGTGTCGTGGGTGTAGGCCTCATTGGTCTGTGGATCCACATCATCAAGTGATCTCTTCACAAAGTTCTCAAGACCTTTCATGGGATCAACTGCTTCATCCGCCACCAAGTCAAACACTCGCTTTCGGAAAGTATCAGCATATTCACCATGATCTCGCAGGACAACTTCTGGACTAAGTTTCTGGGTTGAAGTCCTAGAACTTGGGACAGGCGGTGGCATTTCAACATGAACTTCAGGACGGGGCAAAGTTGACTGCTTGCCTACAAGTCTCCTACCTGTTGGTTTCGAAGCAAGTTTGAAGACGGTTTTGCCCTTGAAGTACTTATCCTGCTTTGCTCGGGGATCATCACTTTTTCGCCAATCATCATTCAAGGTTTTAGACGAACCATCTTCAAAGTTCATGACTGTCACACGTTCACCTGTCAAGTCTTTCAACTCAACCGGCCGATCCTTGGTTCCTTCGGGAGAAAACAAAGTTGCTCGACCACGCTTGTGAAGCCTCGTCAAGGTTGCGTTGGCCTCATCAAGTACCCAACTGTCCGCGTGGTAGTACGTGGGCTTAAGGGTCGGCGCAACAAGTCCAGGAGGAGGTCTCACTGCGAACTGTTCATGGAATCCTTTGCTGAAGTCTGCATACTCATTCGGATCAAATTCAGCAAGCGTCGGACACAAGAACAGAAGTGAACCATGTCTTGTGACAGGAAAAGTTGCACCCGTGGGACCTTCAAGCTGAGATCCCTCAGATGTCAACACTGCCTTGCATCCTTGCTGCAAAAGTCTAGCGACTGAAATCACACTGTACGGTACATCGCACACATAAAAGTTCAACCAAAGTCGCTGACCATCCAACTCAAAGGCAACAAGCTTTCGACCATAGATCTGCAAAGTCTGGCCTGAAATGCTCTTAAGCGGAGGTGCTCGTTCTTCAAGTTTCAACAACGGGAAGTCCGGAGCAAAGTCCGGGGGACAGCAATTTGCTGCAGCACCGGAATCAAACAGGATCCAAGTCTCAAGTCCTGTCTCAACTGATGCAACAGCAACCTCATGCTCGGCCAAGTAGGGGTCATAGAAGGTGGAACTCAAGTGCTCCAAACCCCAATCGGACAACGAAGTCGGATTCGAGAGCGAAGTTTGATTCGCTTCATTCTTCAACGGCAAGTCGCACACAGGGGACAACTGCCAAGTGGCCACATCACTTCGTGCACCAAGTGAGCGACCAAAGCCATCAAACACAATGCTTCCACTCAACATGCAATCAAGCGATGCATCACAAGTTGGCGAAACGAAACACGACTGCGTACCAGCAAACATGCTCCCAAGTGTAATTGCCGCAATGGCAAGTCCAGAGGCCTTCGAAGTAGCCTTGGGTGTCGCCTTGGGCTTCGCCGCGGAGGAAAGTCTCGCAGGCGGCGTTCCCAAAGTGACAGCACTCACTGGGGCACCCGAAGTTGCCTTCGGCTCCGCAGCATGCGATGGCGGGGCTGAAGTAGCCTTCTCAACAGCAGGTGGTGGCGACACGACACTCCAAGTGTCGTCGTTCCAATCACTCCAAGTGGACGACCAACCATCGTCCCATGCAGGCCACCATTCCTCATCACTCCAACCAAGTCCTACCGCTGCGACTAAGTCATCGCTCCACCATTCTTCCTCAAAGTCACCAACTTGCCAAGTGTCATCGACTGACCAATCTTCAAACGAGCCATCCAAAGTGGCATTCTCATCAACCGCACTCACACGACCAAGTGGACAATTTGCCGAAACATGTCCTGGTTTGCCACAAGTCCAACAAGCCAAAGCATGCTGACCACGAAGTTTTCCTTTGCTCTTGCCTTTTCCTTTTCCTTTGCTTCCTCCAAAGTCCTTTCCTTTTCCTTTTCCTTTCTGTGCAGTGTGAAAACTCAAGTGTGGGTTCTTTCCTTTGCTCTTGCTCTTTCCTTTTCCTTTTCCTTTAAAGTAGCCGAAGCCACTTTTGCCGAAGCCTTTCTTTCCTTTAAGTCCTCCAATGTCCATTGGTGCTGGGCCTTGATTCGACGAAGACGAGTTGCTCATGATCAAGTGCCTGGACTGATAGTACTCGACTATCGTGGCTTTGATGTCTTCGTAAGTCGTCAAGGTCCGAGCATTCAACCTCAAGTGCTGCTGGAGCGCACCGGAAGTCTTATTCAACAACGTAGCGACAAGCACGCTGTCAGGCAAGTCAGCACCGGTCTGTCGCTCATACTTTGTCTTGATCGTCTCCCAAGTGTTGAAATCCTGCTCGAACGTATGCGACCCAAACCGAAAGTCAAGCAACTGCGTCAGAAGTGAAACATGCCTCGCAGCATCTGGCAACGCAAACTTCTTGACAAGTCGACGCCAAGTCTCAAACCCATTCGAGTCGTAGTTCTGACGAACCACAAGCAATGCCGACTCTGACGTCAAGTTCGCAAGCAGATAATGCAACTTCCGACTGAAAGTGACTCTACCTGCCGTCGCGGTCTGATCAAGTGCTGCAACACCTTCTTCTGTAAGCACGTGCACCTCAAGTGCCTCATCCGTGAGCGGTGCCTCATCATTCTCGTGCTGTTCCAAGTACCTTGCAGCCTGTGCATCAAACATCGACAAGTACGCGCGAAACTTCCACGACCATTCTTCCCATTCCGCAGGTTTACCTGAGAAAGTCGGTGGCAACGGTAGCCTAAGCTTACCGGTGAAGTCGTTCTCTCCTTCAAGTGACATTTGGGCTCTACCAAAGTTCTACTGGAGCTTTCAGCTCCGCTACTATGAAAAAGTAACTGAGGTCACTGAGCTCAACAACACAAGTGAGATATCCGAAGCTGCAAGTATGTTTTCGCACAGGCATCAAGTCTTGATCCTTGAGCCAACCGAAGTTGGTCATGCTGTCTGCACATCAAGTCTGGAGGACTCGGGAAGTGTGTATTTTCTCACACACAATCAAACAAACAAACAAACAAACATACATACATACATACATACATACATACATACATATATACATATATATATATGTATATATGGATCAAGGCACTGCACATAGATGTTGTTTTTCAGTCTGCTCGAGCAGCGAAATCTCCCCCCGTACGGTGCACACGGGGTAACAGCGCAATTACACTTCGTGACCCTCTTCTTCCTGTCCCACCCTTCTTCAATTGATGACTGCAAGACGAGCCGTTACATCATCATGTCTTGTGATTCGTATATTCTTAGTATCGTTATGCATACATTGCAATACTTTACATGTTACGGGTGTCATAGCGATGCAATCAATTCCCACAGGCCATTCAATTACTCGTACCCAGTTATCGTGTAAAAAGGCGAGAACTATTACAACGGATCTCACAACCATTTCGTTGCTGTGATGCGCCCCTCAAACTCCCAGGGGTCTACAATGTCACGGTGAACGCCTTCCCCTTGACGGACAAGCCCGTTTCCATGTTCAAGAGAGGTGCTGAAGGGGACACGGAGACGAGGCCGCGCTGCGCTTCTTTTCAGGTGGTGAATCTCCAAGGTCTCCGAATGTCGGTTCTTTGCACGGGGAATCCCTCTAAGAGATTGCTTCTTCAAGGATTTGGCCGATGCTCCGCAGGGTCTGGAGGGGCCCTCTTTTCGAGCAGGTGTCCGCGCCGGCCTTCTTCTGGCCTTCTCTGGCTTCTGGATTGGCTCTGCTGTTTTTCTTTGGCCTTCCGGCCTCTTGGCTTTTCGTTTGGCTTTGGTAGCTTTTGGCTCTTCTGGGCTTCTTGGTTTCAGAAACTCAGAAACTCAGAAACTCAGAAGCCTCTTCTCTTGGCTTCGTCGGGGATGAAAAGACTCATGAGGCCTCCAGGAATCGACGTCGAGCTGAAAACAAACGGAAGCGTTGGGGAAGCGCGCAGGGAAAGCTTGGGAGATCGAAGAGAGAGCTTTCGAGGCAAAGCACAGGGGATTCCGCGGGATTCTGTGTGTGCGAGTGATGAGAGCTGACGAGAGCTGATGAGAGCTGAGAGAGTGAGTGGAGCGCTGTCGAGCACGCAAATGGGGGGGGGGATGGTACGGCTGCTGTCAAGCGTCGTCATCACCAAGTGGAGTTTGGAGGGAAGGTCCCAGCATGGGGGAGGCAGGCCCCGAAAGCACAAGGAAGGAAGGTCTGCGAGCAAAGGAATCGAGCTCATGAAGCAGATGGGCGAGGTGAAGAACGGGCCGTTGAAGATCATTGGGCCGCAACCACAAGGGGCCGACACGAGGACCACCAGAAGCAGAGCACACATCAGGATGGGAGGTGCTTAACACCACTTCGCAAGTCAACGCGTCTTTCTCCAAGAACGGAGGACCGTCGGAAAGCAAGGGCGAGGCGAGGAGCCCGAAAACTTGAGAAAACACAACTTGGTGTACACTCGCTCAACCGGCGAAAGCTCCAAGTCCGCACGGCCTACATGTGCTCCATCATGCGACTATGCCCCAAGCAGATCCTCGGGATTTCGGGTGGAGGGGTGGAGGGGTGGAGGGGTGGAGGGGGAGATCCAGCAGTCCCTACCAAGCTGGGTGTTGTTGGCGTGGATGCCCACGAGACCATTGAGGAGGTACGGCGACTAGTGACTAGCAATCCTCCAGGAAAGTCTCCCCACTTCCCCTGCACCTCTCAAGGCCAGGGACATCGCCATCATCGCTATGGCCGACCATGAGCCACTCATCGTCCAAGTCCTGTGGGGAGAACCCAAGTCACAAGTTGCAACGATGCTGAGAGAACAGACACAAGGCCAGGGCGGGCTCCACTGGAGAAGTTTCCTGGGCAGGAGAGGCACAAAGCAACATGTCTGAAACAGCCTCACAAAACCCAGCAGTGAAGGATAGAGTCCTGGGCATAGGGCATTGCGGATGGGAAGGGCGTGCCCTGCGCACGAAGGGGGGGTGTTCCTGGGCAGAAGAAGAAGAAGATAAAGAATGACGAAAAGAAAGAAGGCTTCAAATCAAGGGCAACCGTCTAAATAGTGGTCGCTATCCTCTACCCGACCCTTCTCTTTTGAGCTTTCTCTCCATCTGTCTGTCGGAATCCCTGGCTCTCTCCGCTCCTTTGTCGCTCTCTTCGCTCGGAGTGCCTCGGAATGCCGATCCCTCTCGAGCCTGGACAGGACCCTGCGAGTGGAGCGTCTGGAGCAGCTTGCCCAGGACAGCCTTTCTTTCTTACGCGAAATTCGACTTTCTCAGACATTTCTGGCAAAGAGAGGCGAGGAAAACGGTTCTGACGCTACAACAGATGGTGCATGGTGGGGAGAGACAGAGAGAGAGAGAGAGAGGGAAGAGAGCCAAAACGTGAAAGGAAGGCCACCAACACCAACACCAACACACAACAACAACGAAGAGAAGCTCCCCTTGAACAGAGCCCCCAAAGAAGTAGAGGCCTTTTCCTGAACCCAAGAGACGGAACAGAGACGGAACAGAGACGGAACAGGAGAAGCCCTTGGCAGTGGGTTCGGAAGCGTTGTCTTCCATGGAGCTGGCGGCGCGCGCGGCGCGGCAGACCAGCCACGCGCTCAACGAGGCGCGCGCGCGCCCTCGAAGAGAAGTGTTGGGGGGAGGCGAGGGGGAAGCTCTAAGTTGTGAGAAATTTGCAATTAAGAAAAGCATGTCTTTGAAGAAGCGCCCCCTTCTGCCCCCAAGTCCCCCTTCGAGAGAGGCTCCCAGAGTGAAAAGAGGCCCCAAAGAGCCAAAGCCAAAAAGCCAAAGCGGCAAAGCCAAAGCAGCAAAGCAGCAAAGCCTCCCCCCCCCCCTCCTCCCTCCTCCCCGCATCCAAACAGAGTCCCCCCCCCCCCCCCCGTGTGTTGAATTTGGTAGTTCGTCGTGTAGTTCTTTTTTCCTCCCTGTGGTCGGAGGTCGACGCGCGGCAGAAGGCGGCAGAAGAGAAGAAGCAAGTCCTGGAGGAGCACGCTGAGGAGCTCTCGAAGACGCCCGGCAGAGATCTAGTCTGCAAAAGAGCTGCACCAGAGCTGTACCAGAATTCTTGACAGCGGCGTACGCGAAACATCTAAAAAATCCTGGGCTCTTCGCTCTTCCCCGCAGCGCGCAGCGTCCCACGCCGCAGTCTCACGCCCTTTCTTTGGCAAACGAGGACGTTGGGTGACATCGACCGGGCCTCAGAATAACAAAGCTCCGCGGCACGTGCTTTTCTCAAAAGATTGTTCAAAGAGGGAGATTCTCAGTTCTCACTCACTTCTGAAGAAAGGCCGATGGGTTCTCGCAGGCCACTCCACAACAGGCCTGCAGCGAAGCGCGAAAGCAAAAAGAGAGCATGTGCCACGTGCCACGTGCTGGCGTTCTCTTTCTCTCTTTCTGACTCTGTCTCTCTTTTTTATAGGAGGTTTTTGTTCGCGTGCTTTTTTAGAGCGGAGGTCGCCAGAGGTGCCGAGGAAGCCCTACGGCTCCGCGGGCTCTGGCAGGCGCCGACCTCAGAGTGGGTGGGAACCTCTTTCCTGAAACGAGAGAGAGAGAGAGAGAGAGAGCATTCAAAAGCTGGTTTCGTTCGCTCTCAGAGGAAGACCAGAACAGCAGCCTCGCGGCCGAGCAGGAGAAGCGACAGCTGGTCGACCGGCGCCGGGCCCAGGGAGGGCCGAGGGGACTCACCCCCTCTCTGGCATAACCGGGGCGCCTCGAGGATACAAAGAGAAGAGTCTGAGCTTGAGAGTGAGAGAGGGAGAGAGAAACAAAGCAACAAGAAAGTAGCTCTCTCTCTCTCTCTCTCTCTCGCTCTCTCTCTCTCTATCGCTCTCTCTCTCTCTCTCTCTCTCTCTCTCTCTCTTTGTTTGACAGAGAAGGAGCAACAGAGCGCATATGTATATATATATATATATACATATATATATATACATATATGCCCTTCTCAGCGTTTTCCTTGGAGGCTGGCGGAGCAGCTCTCGGAAGCGGTGCGCCCCCGGGAGGGAAAGGAATTGAGAGAGAGGGGGGGAGGGAGCGAGAGAGCGGGAGAGGGAGAGAGGGAGAGGGAGTTCCTCTCCTGTAAAAAAACGCAAGAAAAGAACCCTCTGTGTAGAGACTCGCCATGTAGATTAAATATTTCTGGCTCTCCCTTTCTCTCTATATTATCGATATTCATATATGCAATATGGATATAAGTCTATCCTTTCAGGATCGAGACAGACTATCTCGTCACTCGTCTGTTTTCGCCTCCTACTAGTGATAACTTATATTGTAGATGTTTAAACTGTCAGCAAAGCCTGCTACCACCCATAGAATGTATTTGCACATCCTCACGAGTCGTACCTTCTCCGCTTACCTGCCTCCCAGCGAGTTCAAAGATGAACCTGTGACCAAAATTAGCTTTTTCGAAGCAGTAGTCAAGGAGCAAATGCACAGAGCACTGAGAGTCAGCAAAGTTCGGGAGAGAAAGAAAAGGGCACCCTTTTTCTTCTTAACTTCTTAACTGGCTCGGCAAGGCTCGATCCGGCGGCTCTCCTGCACTTGGGGGGGGGGTGGGGGGAGCGGGGGGAGGGGGGGGGGCCGTTGTTGTCATTATCGCCTCTCTGATGACTCCTCTCTCTCTCTCTCTGGAGAATTTGGGGGTCTTGCTTGGAAGCCTCCGCTTTGCCCCCCCCCCCTTTGTTTCTTTGATCCAGGCATCGTGGCCTTGAAGGCTGTGACCTTGGCATTGCACCTCCAGGCCCAGACCATTTGGGAAGGTTTTGTGACTTTTGTGTGTTGCCTCGTGTAATGGCCACACCAGGGGCCATGCCTGCGGCAAGTGTTCGGGGGGTTTCTGTTTCATCAGTTTTCTCAGGTGAACCTCACGGCAGCGGCGGAAGGCTTTCGGGAACTCGGGATTCTCCGATGCAAGCACGCCCCCTCGCTCCTCAACCCGGAGTCCGAATGAGGGGCAGCCGGTGCAGATCATGTACAGTGTGCAGTAAGCGTTCCCCCCAGCCCGTTCTTTCCAAAGTTACTCATGCAACCCTATGAGTTGCGACTCACAGAGAAAGGAAGACTTTCCTTCTTTTCCCTAGGAACGATGCCTACGGAGCCAGCTTCGTGCAGCTGCCAACAAAGCCAGAAGACCTCCAGAGATACAAACAGGCGCGGATGGGGGACTCCTCCTCTTACACAACTCGCATACGTATCTACGACGTATGTACATCTATCTTGATCTATACAGAGTATACTATATACAACATGTGTACGTATATACGTATTTGAATATCTACACATCTTTAGAAGAATCTGAGTGGCCCTTTTTGAAATGAGAATCACGATCGTTGACAGAAGTGATCATTGCTGAGAGCCGATACACCAAGGTTTTGCTCCGAAAGCTCGAGGACCTGAGGCTGGCTCTGGGCTCTGCTGAGATATCTGTGCAATCGCCAAGAGAGGCAATTCAGTTCCTGTCCGTAATGTTCGTAGGCCTCCGGCATCTCGTAACGGCTTCTTTCCGATATCTGAAACGTTTTGAGTTGCGAATCTTCGTCCGAGCACAGAATTCTCGACTCCCGTT